TCTGGTTTACCTGTTGTGACCCTAATTTTATGTTCTTCCCCTGTGAGATCTACTAATAATAGCAATATGCCAATATGTATTTGTGGTCTAGTACTAACAGATTCAGTTAAAATACTTAAGAGTTCAATCGGTGTGTGCTCTACAGTTGATCAGACTTAGCGTGGGTCCAATCCAAAAATCAGTTAGTCATCTTTGAGAAAGTTCACGTCCAATTTTCTTAACTGCTCCCAGGTCTCTTCCTCACACTGACAAGGACATTTACGGTCTCCTGTATTTTTGCTTTAAGTGGAGTTTTATAGACAAATGAATGACAGGTTCCTGTCCAGAAGAATTTACAATTGAATATAATTAAATCCCTTGCTATTCTGCACCACAAATAATTGTAAATAATAATAATGTCTCTTGACACATGTAGTGACACTTTATCTTCAAAGTACTTTGCAAATCTAAACGGTCATTGTCTGTCTTAATGAAATATTTCCTGCTTAAATTGTCAGCCTTTAAGCTACCCTCAGACTCCATAATCAGCCAGCATTGCCTAGGCTGATTTTTCTGCCGAACCAGGGGGGGTTGTGGCCTTCGCGCGTCACCTCTCCTGCTTGCTGCTTGCACAGAGTCACACCTTGTCCTTTGGATAGAGGAAGCAGAGCTGTCGTAAACCTTGGCCCGGCAAGCTTCTGTATCCTCTCTGGCTGAAGTCAGCCGTGTCAAATGTAGTCATTTAACAGAATAATAGCTAAAAGCCACTGGTAGAAAAGCAGCATCTGCTTGCTAAGTTGGCACTGCTTTAGGATGCTTGTAGCATCTGCAGGGCTGTAGCACAAGAGGTAGGAATAACTCCACTGATGGTCAGAAATTACATTTATTCAAAAGCAGTTCTTCAGTGCTTTCTTTTGGTGGTGGTTACACAGAAGTGAAGTAGTAGAAGATATTGTCTTTAGTAGAATTATACTCTGAATTCCCATTCTCTAGCCCTCAGAGTGCATATAAGGGTAAAAAATAAATGCATTTTATTTCTATTTAGTTGGATCAGAATCTGAATAGGAACTCTTCGCAGTCGTGAACTTCTGTTAGAGCATAACATCGCGTCCTGTAGTTAGTGTCCATCTTGTTGTGATGTGTCAGTACCTGACCTGCGGCTGGTAGGCAGTGTTCTCTGTGTTTTGAATTTCAGTGAGGAAAAAAGCGTGTTTCCAGCATGTTAGTTGTTTCTTGTGGGACACCCGAGTTCAAACGCTGGTGCCTTGAGCAGTCTTGTGAATAGTCTGTCTCATTTCCCTTCGAAGATCCAGTTCCTTTTTGCTCACTGCATCCACAGTACGGCACGTCTGGTACAACATTTCTCAGCCCCCTCAGAAGCGGAGCATACCTGGGACATCCCTGTTCAGGTCAGCTTGGGAGCTGGAAGCACCTCTGTTTGCACAGGGCTGGGGACAGAGCAGGAGGACGAGCCGGCGGCTGCGGGGCTGGCTGTGGGCAGCTCTGGGAAGGCAGCGGTTCCGTGGGCAGGGAGAGCCCTCCGTGGGCAGCGGTTCCGTGGGCAGGCAGGAGCATCCTGCCTCCCGCTGAGGGAACTGAGCTGCTGTTAATTGAAACCTGGTGACGCCATCACTGCCTCCCACTGAATTTAGGTAGAGAAGCACTCCCCTAGTCCCCTGTCCTGTCTGCCATGCCGCAGTTCATGTAATGCCTCAGAGGGAGTTAGAGCTCATTCATTTTCCTGCCTTTCCTGGGGATTATCTGTGAAGTCCCTGCTAAAGTGTATTGCTGTTAACGACTCAAAATAGGAATATGCAGACAGTCATACGCCTCTGACCTTGCAAAGTTTTAGACCCCAGGGATGCTGTATGGCATTGAACTCCAGAGTTTAATTATGAGAAGTAGTATTTATGTACTAAACTGAGACTTTGACATGTTGCTAACTTCATTGAACCACCTCCTGTTCTTGTAAAAACAAAGCCTCTTATCAAACTGCTGTAACCCCTGATTGATTTGTACTGGTATAGTTTCATTATTTTGTGATGTCAAACAAACAAACAAAAAAACCCCACAAAAGCCCTCTTTCGTCTTACTCTTTCTCAATCACTTTTTTGTTAGAATTATTACAACTTCTCTATGAATCTCTGTTCCACCTTGCTACGAATTCTCTGTTTGCGACTGGCTGGTACCTCAGCCTCCTAGAAGAGGCAGCGGTGTTTGCTTTTATATACCAGCATTGTGTTTTTAATTATTTCTTCCGTTCTGTTCCTTCTGTGTGTTAATGTTGGGTTTGCTTTTATTAACTGCAGTGTTGCACTGAATTAAGGGTTTTCTTCAGGGATATCTTTTGAGGCACGCTATCAATTTCCTTTCCTGAGCTCCAGTCTTGCAAGCAGTATTGTTAGCCTAAGTGAAGGTAAAAATATTAAAAGCATAAAGAGATGTATTAGCAAGAGAGTGTAGCATATTGCATTAGGGGATGAGAGGAGGAGTTTGTGTAAATTTTTTTGTGTTTCTTTCCAGAAGAAACTGGAAATCAGTTTGAAAGTCTAATGTTGATAGAAGAGTTGACAAATTCAGGTCTCCTTAAAAGGAAAATTAATCTGAAAAGTTGCAAGTCTGGGTATTTGTTTTGAGCCTTTCCCCTGCATTTGTCATATTTGAAAACTTCAGGACATATGTTTTTGTTTCTTTTGTACAACTACAGGATCTGGAAATGTCTTCGAAAGCGGAAACGACCGGGCTTTTTACAGTAACAGCTGAGACTGTGAGGGAGCTACAGTAGAGTAGCCAGTATTGACACAGCGGAAGTTCAGGATTTTTTTGTGTGTTAATTTTAAGTGTAAATCAAACCTCGCAAGTGTTAGCTCATTTATAGCTAGCTTTCATGTGCTGTACTTATTGATACATCTCTTATTTTCAAGGAGAACTTAATTTATGCCTTAGTGCTTTTTCCCATCCTGGCCATTACCACTAGCTGCTGCTTTTGTTGCTCTGATGAAGTGATTTAAAGTTGAAGTGTTAAAAATAGTGGTCAGTGGGGATGCATGTGCAGTTCCCTTCATATCCAAAGCTTCCCCCCAATATGTAAGGCTGGGCCACCCTCCCCGAGAGGCCTGCGGCACTCTCGGGGGGCCTCTAAATCCCAGCCTCCCAGGACAGAGGTGAAATCCTCTTGTTGATGAAGATGTTGGTGCAGCTGGGGCTGTTGTCAGTGTTTCATACGTCCACATATCATGGCGGGAGTGCAGGGATGCTACAGGCTCTTGCTTGTTCACTAGTGCATCCCAAGGTGCTACACTGGGAGAAGTGAATAGGCTGGAGCAAAGGGGAGATGTTACTAAAGGAAAAAAAAAACAAACAGGCACAGAAGGTGAGGAAGAGGAGAGCCCACGGTGTGTCTTAGTGCTGCTGTTGGAGGGTGTCTCAGTTCACAGCTGAGCTTTCTTGCTTTGGTTTTCTAAACATCTTCCAACTGCTTGTAAGGACTTCAGGAAAAGGCTGATCTGCATATTTTAATATTCCTTGTGACAAACCTTATCGAAACAGTTTTATGTAGTTTAACTTTGTTTCCATGCATTTTTCTGTGAGGCATTTACAGGCTGTGAAAGGTGCCTACCAAGGCTTCAGTAATAAAATACTTGACTCTCTAACATCTCAAATTGCTGAAGGCTGTTAGTCTCAGTACAGTTGTTTTTAACATGGGCCAGCAAAGAAAGATTAACGTTTTCCTTGGTCAGATATAAACCATCAGGCTTTGATGTGTTGATGTGTTCAGAGAACTGTCTTTATTGTAAACTGGGGGAAGATTAGGCTTAAGTGTGAAATATAAAGTATACAAATAAAGGCCTTTGAGGTATTCAGGGAAAAGTTATTCACTTAAATGATTTGGAGTTTGTCTTCCTAGTAAAATAGAAAGCAAAACCATCCTATGGGTAGTACTAACATTTTTGTAAATATGGTCAGATTCGGTGCATACAAGTTGATGCCTGGGCAGGAGAGGAAGGGGCTTTGGTTTCCCCTCCTCCCCGCTGTGACCTGATGAGCAGGTTGTGTTCAGCATTTCTCTATTGACAGACTTGAAAGCTTTGCTCAGCCTCACAAGTTCAGGGTCTCAGGGTTGTTCCAGCTCATACATTAATGAAAAATCTCCCTAAAGATGAGTGTGAGGAACTAGTGTGTCTTGTCCAACACTTGAAAACAGGATGGTGCTCTGACGTGTGAGTTCATTCTTGATCTTACATGTGTATCAAGATGCAGAAATTCCCATTATTCTGTTTCTTATGTTTGAAGAGTTGGATCAAAGCAGTAAAAAATGAATATTCATGGTCTCTGGTTTGGCTGACGGTTCATGTTTTCTGTTGGCCTCTTGTCCTGGTTTCGGCTGGGATAGAGTTAATTTTTTTCCTAGTAGCTGATACAGTGCTGAGTTCTGGATTTAGTGTGAGAATAATGTGGTAACACACCGATGTTTTAGTTTTTGCTGAGCAGTGCTTATACTAAGTCAAGGACTTTTCAGCTTCCCATGCTCTGCCAGGTGCACAAGAAGCTGGGAGGGGGCACAGCCAGGACAGCTGACCCAAACTGGCCAAAGGGACATTCCATACCATGGGACGTCATACTCAGTACATAAACTGGGGGAAAGCTGGCCAGGGGGGCTGCTGCTTGGGAACTGGCTGGGCATCGGTCAGTGGGTGGTGAGCAATTGCATCGTGCATCACTTGCTTTGTATATTCTGCTGTTGTTGTTGTTGTTGTTGTTGTTACTACTATTACTACTATTTTATTTTATTTCAATTATTAAACTGTTCTTACCTCAACCCATGAGTTTTCTCACTTTTACCCTTCCGATACCCTCCCCCATCCCACCAGGGGGGAGTGAGCGAGTGGCTGTGCAGTGCTTAATTGCCGGCTGGGGTTAAACCACGACACCTCTGAGTGTCATATCGAGCTAAAATATTTAAAATAGATTATTGCATAATGTTTCACTTTTGACTGTATAATTTTCTTCTCTAATTTCAGTATTCCCAGGAGAAATCATGGATGAAAAGCTGTCTTACAAAGAATTTCTCGATCATAATGACTCCTGGACGATGGATGACAGAGACCTGTGCTTTGAGTCACAGCCAGTATTCAAACCCATGGAGATGGCTGGTATGACTGTATTACTCTCTGAACTGTACCATCAGTTATTTTATCAGTTGTGTAACATGATAGAGTCCTAGCCTCTATCCCTAAGGGTGGTTTTGTTCTCTTGCCTTGTACTCATGCCTGTGTTCTTTAGGATGTGTTGCTCGGTTTTCCTAAAACGCGTAACATCTTGACACCAGGGTTAACTTAGCACATCAAGCCCCTAACTTGCCCTAGAGCATAGTCTAGCTGGTTAAAAATGGAGTTGCTAGTCCGGCGTGTTAGAGGACGTGGAGTGTGGGTGAGCAGATTTCTCCCTGACTTGGCTCACATGGCGGTAGCAGTTTTTGGTTGACTCTCACAGTTTAGCTGCTCTCGAGTACTGTGGCTTTCAGTGCAAACCTCGCCAAAACTGTTGACAGCTGAAAGCCAGCCTTCCCTGGCTCTCAGAAATGCCAGTTCCAGCTGTCACGTAGCTGTGTCTGCAATGCAGGTCAGTCTGTTCCAGAGGCAGCCTGTGTAGCTGCTGACTCTCTTGAAAATTAGATGAACCTTGTATAACTTGCCCCTGCAAAAAGATACCCTTTCACCCAACAACTTTCACCCAGTTTTTTCTCATTTTTGAGAAAGCTTATGAGATATATATATATATATATAAAAATTGAGAAATTACTCTATAATTGAGAAATTACTTGCTAGCTTTTGGAGGGTATGAGAAATGTTTGTGCTGCCCAGATTATAACAGGCAATAAACCTGGGAAAGATACTGGCTGAAACAGGATAAAACTTTTTTTAAATATCTTTTTAAGCACTGTAGACCTGCTTACTAAGTTATTTTCTTGTTATCTGAATCTCATATTTACTAAGAGATTCTGTGAAGAAATTATATATTGTTATAAGGGTAAGAAATGATTCATGGGACAGCTGGAACAAAAGAGCCACTAGTTTCTAAAACACAGTTGTTGGGTTTTTCCCTCCCATTGCTTTGTTACATGAAAGAATGGGATGTTGATGTAGTTATGCTCAATAGCCAGATGACAAACTTGTTGATTAAGAGCAATTTACATTCCTAGCCCATCATCCAGTATTCTTTTGCCTGAATAATGTGAATCTGTGGGTTATCTATTGCATGGAACCAGATTTCCTTAGGTTTCATGTCCTTAGAGTATCTTGCACACCTGTACATGCATAAGCTACCACGTACACTTCAGTATGAAAGTATTCCTCCGTGCTGCTCTTCCTGGTGCTGTATAAACAAGAGATTCTGCTTGGAGGTTCCTATAACTGAGCAGAGGGATCGGAGAGGATAGACAAGCTTTAAGGACTTGTCAGCAGAAGGAGAAAAATGTGAACAGCAGTCTCATAAAAGTCTATGGCTTTATTAAATATTTTTATGCACACTCTTTGGAAAACAGTAGGATGATTTCCCTCCCAAAGAGATAATTCTCTGGTCAGTGGTGTAACAGGTCTTCCAACCAGCATTGCTGTAATTCCTTGTTCCTTGGTGAGAAACATGGGAAATGCCAGCTCTCCCACTTCCGTGAGCAGCTGAAAGAGTGCGTTTGAATCTGCTCCGGACTTTGCTGTTAATATATTACAAACACTGCATTGGGATCTGGCAGTGGAACCCAACCCTACGAAAGTAACAGTTAGGAGCAAAAACATACATATATATTTTACACACTACCTGTAATAAAAAGACTTGTTTTAAAAATGTTATTGTAATATAGAATGACTAAAACTCAAACATTATCTAATTGCTTGCAAGCTTTGAAAGTGTTGCAAGGCCCTTAATCACAAGTGTATCACGATTTATTGCTGTAACTACAGGTAAATATCTAAACATGAAGAGTTCCTATTTAAATGATCTACAGTAATATGCTTTTATTAGTCCACAGTCACTGGCAAGTTGAAACTATGTCTCTGAACAACGAAGGATACGACTATCTGTGGAAGTGAGCTGAAAAGAAACTTTCAAAAATGTTTTGTCGATCCTACCTCCAGCTGTCCAGAAACAATACTCTTAGATTCTTAACATTTGTCTGGCTTCATAATATTCTAAACAAGCTGCAAATTTTGAGCAAGTAGAGAATTATTTTCAGGGCTCATTTAATGCAAGAACTGATAATTTGCTGAACTGGCTGTATCCCATCCATACAGTTCATCCTTACCCACCTGCCTTTCAGTTTTCAACTGCAATGTGTTTTGCTGGAGACGTCACCTTGTCATCAGCAGAGCGGCATCGCTTACCAGTCACAAAAAGGCTAAAACTTGAGCAGGACACAGGCCCACTTTGAGTCTGTGGAGGATCTTTGGGGATGGGAAACAAAAGTTCAGCCATAACTCCTTCCACTTCTCCCCTTTCTCCATCTGGAGCAGAAACTCATCCATTTTTGCCACATCATCTAACTGCTGGACAAAGAGGGGAGATCATCAGCATCTCTTAGTTATTAAATTGGTTTCAGTCATGATGCTTCTTAGTGGGTTTGGGGTTTTTTTGGGGGAGGTTGTGGGGTTTTTTGTTTGTTTGCTTTTTTAATTGGAAAAAAGGCAGTTATTTAGTCTTGGTAATACTGTTTTAAACAGCTTGAAATTAAAATTTTCCACAATTTACTCTGAAGCGAGACATTGTCTTGGCATCTCACATAGTCTGATAGATTTATTAAAGAATTCATGCAGCTCACCTGATCTTGACATCTTGGAGCACCATGGGCATGCGAACATTTGAAGTTTCGCTGTCGTCCCCGCAGATAGCATGCCTGACATAAAAATTAATAGCAGCCTTCGACTGAATCCCTTTTAATTGGGCTTAAGCGGAAGAAATCTGTGCGTTGTCTGAAAATCGGTGTGTGACAGCCATTTTGGGAACAGGGAGTTCTTCAGCTCCAGGGTAATGCAACATGCAAGATAGTCATGAGAAATGTCACTTGTCTGCAAGAGGCTGTTTGAATCGAAACCTCTCATTGCTCAGCTGTGCCTGTCTGGAGAGAAATGCAGTGTACATCTGGCACAAGCCAGCGAGATGTGTTAGGAATCATTGATCATAAAACACATCCAGGAGTTTGTAAATGACAGAATAATTTGTTTGAGAGAGGAATGCCACATTTCCCCCTTGCAGTGTCTTGCCTTGACTGTATTATGGTACAGTGACTAACTCATGGAAGGGTCATCTTTTCTTCGTTTTATTCTGTCAGTGAGGTCATCTGTGTACTCTCTGACTCACGGCACTTCAGTTAAGTAATCCATTTTACAAAACCCAGCATGGTGGTTCTCTCTGTCCCGTCTGGTTTGAATGCCCATGCTGATTACTTGGGGGGAAAGGAGATGCATGCACACAAAAAATAAAACTTGCAGAAAAGGAATTTTCTCTTGCTGAATCCTGAGCTGCTGGAGTACCATCTGTTGCAGATGACATTGATATATCCACTTAAAACACGGACCAAAAGCAGAACAAAGCTAACACGTTAGACCAACCAAAGCTGACACCAGACAACTTGCAAATGTGGACTAAAGATCCTGACAGCCTCACCAGCGCATCTGGTCTGGAACGAAGGGCAAAGGCTGGTCATCTGCCTGGGATACCGGGAAATGTGTTATTTTCCTCTCTGGCTTGTAACTTGATTAAAATACTGGCCCATCAGTCAGTTTATACTGGTGTACTGTTCTTGGGGGGGAGAGCACGTAGCTTACACAGGCTTTCCTTGGTCTGCTGTCAAGTTAACTGATTCAGAGCTCAGCTGATGTTCCTGACTCAGCTTAGCTGTATGTGTCCATCAGGTCAGAAACAGATGCTTCCTCCTTGAGAGGAGGAGACAGGTTCTCCATGCAACAGTTGTAATCTAAACTTTAGTCAGTTTTCCCTAGGAAGCAGTACGAGCAACCATGTTTTACTGTTGGGCATAAATTCTAATTACGAAGGTCTTTGCCCCTGGTAAATAATCCTGAAAGGAGCTGGTGCATCTCCATCTTGTTTTTTAAATAATCTTACTCGGTATCATGTCTTCCCCCTGTGTGGTGACACCGGCCTTGTTCTTGTCTCCTGCCAGACCCCTTCAGCATGCACAGGGGGGAGAATCTGCCTGATTTATCGTTTCCTACTGACATGAAGAATGTACCGCTGTTCACGGACCATGTTGATGCTTCCAGAGACATCCATGGTGAGTTCTTCCTCGGCATTTGTCCTGATGGTCAGGTTTTGGTGTTTTCTCTGTTGAGTTTCATGTACTGAAAACTATTAAGCTGCTAAGTGCACAGACTATATAATCTCTTCACGTGATTTTTAAAAATTTTTTGTGTGTGTGCCTAAGGCCATTCCAATAGCTACTTCTAGGAAGGTTTTTTTGAAGCATATTTAGGCAGAAGGAGATAGAACATCTAGACAAGTTGAGTTGAAGCAGGAGTTACCAATGGCTCTTGTCTTCATGGCTAGAAACCAAATATGCGTGAACTTTTTCTACAAAGTGGTCTTCAGTGTTTGGACTATTGGAGTTTAAGGAGTTATTAACAAGAATTCATGGGAGCAGAAGCAGAAAGCAAAAGGGAAATAATTTGCCTGTGCTTACTGTCTTATACGTTGTTAAAAAATTATATATGCGTACATAATTTGCAATGCGGTTTGTAAAGGTGAGCTAATTGTAAAGGTGAGAGTGTTGTTTACAAACTTTACCTAAACTGCTTGTGAGCAGAACAGAATAGTTTATTTGCCAAGTGTTGTATAGACTTTAAATTTTGGAGGGGAGTCATTAGGGCTAGCTTGGTGATTCACAAATGGCCTTTTATTTCATTAGCACCGCATGGATCTATGATGATACCTGAACAAACTTTCTTGGGGCCCCTGTATTCTCCTGCAGAGGCTCTAGACCCATCAGCCTTCATTGGCCTGGATTCAACTGCAGAATTTCTGCAAGACAAAGCAGGTAAGAAACAGATGTTTTGCTATTACTGTCTGTCTTGCTAGCTGGATTTGAAGGGTATGGAAAATCTTGGTTTACTAGTCCTAAAGAATCTTGGTGGGGGAGTTGATACATAAAATGAGTCAAGATTAGAAAGTATCCTATTAGCAATGACAGTTCTTGGTTCAGTGTGAATGTTCTGAAGATGTTAGGAGGTCACAGAATGGTTGAGGTTGGAAGGAGACCTCTGGAGGTCATCTTAGAATCATGGAATAGTTTGGGTGGGAAGGGACCTCTAAAGGCCATCTAGTCCAACCCCCCTGCCGTGGGCAGGGACATCTTCAACTAGATCAGGTTGCTCAGAGCCCCGTCCA